TGATATACTACCATATAGATACTTTAATATGTCATCCAGTAGTGTTAAATTGGCTCAACAGCACATAGAGACATGATATAAGCTCTTCTTTATATTTACTTGTGAAGTTTACACTAATGTAACTATTTGCAATGACTAGTGTTGGTGAATATTTCACGCAATATTATGAAACACATAAGACTTTATTTCAAAGTTATTTGAGTTATGATATCATTGATATGTTGAATTAGTGTTTTTAAATGCTTTAAATTGTGAATATGCATGAATCTCAAATGATTGTTCTTATAAAAAATAATGATTGAAATCTTGAAGTTCTAAATGTCTATCAGTCTATGTATACTTATGGCATGATTTATAAACATTTTTATGTATAGGTTTTGTCATCCTTTTGTAAATGTTCTGGTTATAAGTTTGGTTTTACATCATCAACTTGGTCCCAGACAAATATAAGTCTTTGAGGTTAGTGAAGTTTCCACGCTTCTCTGCAGATTCACTCTCAAGTGCTGTAAGGAAAGATTAAGAGACCTTGAGCTTGCATAGGTGTCACGTCCGGTTACATATATACCTGGCATGCTTAGCTACTAGGCTATTCATGGACAGAACATTTGGTGATGCCAAATTTAAAAAAAATAGTCACTTTATATTCGATAGACAATTTTGGCTGGGTGATAAGCTAAAAGAATAACAGGGTAAAGGTGGGCCTCCGCTAAAGTCTGTCTCTAATCAGGTAGTACAAATGTGTAGCAAGCACTGAAATTGAAGTATAACATACTGCATTTCTTTCTTCACTGTACTCCTACAAAACAAACTTCTTTTATCTGGATTTTAAGACTGCAAAATCGAAATATTTCTTACTGCATTTCTTTCTTCATTCTCATGATGATTGGGGCATCTTCTTGACAGAGCAGGTGAACGGTTGAGCCCTTGGGTGGCTGTGGGATGCTTGACCATTCACATTGTCATATCCATTCACATTGATAAGTGCCTTTTTGTTTGCTTTGATATTTAGGAGATTAATTAATAATACATCATTGCTCACTACATCATTGTTTGCCTTTTTGCCACTTATATAAATTTTTATGATACATATGTGTTTCTCTAGTTATGTGTTTTTAATATTTTAGGTTTCTTGGAGTACAGGAAGAGATGAATCTTTGTCGAGATATGAAGTGTGTGAAGCTTGCGATGCATTGGTGATATAAGTGTGTGATAATTTATTGTAAACTACTACATATTAGTTTTTATAAACTTTAAAAGATGAAGATTTCTATTGTATGCATAATGAACATTGGTGATGTATACCTTATTTCTTTTAGAATTATGGTTTTGGTTTGTGATGTAAGGTGATCTTGTTGCAATTTGAATGTTTCTTATTTTATAAATAGCATATGTTTTGGTTTGAAACACCATGTTTTAACTTTTGGGTAGTAGAACAAAGCAAAAATAAATATTACAATTTTAACTTTTTTTTTGAATATCTTTTGCTGGGATTTTTTTATAAAAAATAATACTATTTGTTGCGGTTCAGAACCACAACAATAAGTCAAAAAATTGATTTTTTAAAAAGCTATTTGGTGCGGTTCTGAACCGCAACAAATACGTTTTCCTACAATTTGCTGCTCCGTCAATTGCTGCGGTTCAAAACCGCAACAAATAGCTAAAAATATAGCTATTTTTCTAGTAGTGATGGTAGGGCAGTAGGGATGTGGTGTAAGGGTGGGGGCATGGGCCTAAGAAAGGGGTGAGGGTTAGTGAGGAAGGGGTGGGTAAGGTTTAAAATGGTAGGTATGGTGGCAAGGGTTGGGTAAGGGTGGGGACAGTAAAGGGTTTAGGGGTACGTGAAAGGGGTGAGGGTGGTAATAACGAGTAGGTAATATCTTTGAATGTTATAATTGACATTTTAAAGCTAAATCATGTTTTAATGAATCAACGGGTCTCTTAAAGTAAACATACATGAATTAAGCCGCACCTCCTTAATAAACAATTGATTAGTAAAACATGTTATAATAAACAACACTTACGATCCCGTGAGGTGAACATGTTCTATGAGTCTATGACCCATTTATTTAGATAACCACACTTAAATACTACGTAGTACATTACTACATGGTGGTGGGTCAAACAATTAGAGCACTTTGATGTAACTACTAGATGTGTTCACAAACATCAAATCAAAATACCATTCAATTACTTAAAAAATATTTTATCAGTTGACAAGGAGTCAAGAAAAGTAACCCACTGGAAGCAAGTGTGCAATGATTTCACTAAAGATAATTGAAATCAACTATGAAATATCTATAATTTGAATTAAAACTCCAGAAGGTCCATTATGATTTGTGTTTGCACCTTGCAATAGATATTTATCCTTTAAAAAATTAACATCACATACACACTCGATGTTAATTTTATAGTGAAAATATGTGAAGTTCAGGCTTGAAAATGTGTTTTAGATTTCTATTGATAATAACTATTTTATAGTGATATATGATGAAAAATAAGAAATGCCCAACAAATGATATATAAGGTTAATTTTATTTGTCACTCTTGTTCAATATATGTAATTTTTAAATGTATAAAAAGCAAAAATACAAAAAGATGTCATGTTGCTTTTTATCACCTCATATTAGATTCCATTTATAACATGTTTATAAAAATGATTTTTAAAAGTTTATTCGATCTTTGTCCCCCCCCCCCCCCCCCCCCCCCCCGCATCTTCCATTTTCGATGTATCTATTCTTATTGTTCTGAGATCAAAGAGATTTACGACGATGATTTTATATTATAAATTTTTTGAATTGCAAGAACAAAAAGTTTAATCAATTTTAAATGGGTTTTAGGATCCGAGTAGAGTTTCTAAAGAGAAGTTAGAGGGTAGCAAAAGTAAAGTGATAAAGTTGTGTAATTATTTTGGCAGAATAACAATACAAAATTTCGTGTTCCTTTCCCATAGAGGACAAACTGCTATTTATAGGCAGATATAGCCATATAGTTGTGGGCTTTTAGCCCAAAAAGGTTACGCTAGTTAGAATAGTGCATGTGTCCGTGCAATACTTGGGGAACAAGCACACTGATCACATTGGCGTGTGATGATCTCAACCCTGGTAATATACCAATGATGTCACTGATGATGTAAGCCCTTCGGGAATCGAGCCTGTGATGTCAAACCGTCAGTAGGGGTGCCACTGACGCAAGCCGTGGATGCGCCTTGCTGGAATGTTTAGGAAATGACTATTGACTAAGTGTCTGTTGAGGTTTATTTCTTTAACTTCAAAGACCCAACACGTTCCTTTGGGTTTCGAGTGAAGAGTTTAATAGATTATACTACGTATGATGCAAGCAAGCGAAAGATGGGTAAGTGACAAGAGTAGTAAGTGGGTTGACGTTTATCCGCATATCGCTTCTTCTGCCGATCTTGGACAGTCTTGAGTCTATCACGACTGAACATTACCTTAATCTTGTTGATCTCAACAAGCTCTATACCTTTGAGTTTGGTCTCGCCAACATCGTCCCGACACAAAAGTGTTCTGTACTTTTTCCCTAAAGTGCTGGTTGTACCATATAATTTGCCTAGCTACTAACTCCACCCCACTAAACTTTACTAATATTCTTTTTATGTTTGTTTCCAAATAATGAATTTATGATCGATCTTATTTTCCCTCTCATAGTCTTATGAATCTCAAACACTTCCTCCATTCTTTTTTAGGCGTAACACTTTCATTCATGTTTGTAATCGCACAACTTTGACAATTAATATACTATGTATTTAATTCTCTAATTTCAAAAATATTAAAGAATCACATTTTGAAATTTTAAAATGAGAATTATTTAATTATTTTTTTTAAAAATAAAATTTTAATGCATACATAAATAAAATGTAGTCAAAATAAAGCACATGAATAGTCTAATTTTTTAGGATGTTTTTACTTCGACGTTTCCAGTCCCTGATCAGACCAGATTAGACTAAAATAGATCAGATGGGACTAATTCAGATCAGACCAAACTTCTATATTTATAAAATAAACAGAGACCAGACATTACCAAAACAGACCGGTTCAAACCAGAACAGAAACCACATCGAACTTAGGGCTGGGTCCGAAAAACCGAAAACCGAAAACCGAAAACCAAATCAAATTAAACCGAACCGCGACCAAATAAAACCGAACCGCTAAAAACCGAAACCGAATGTAAAAAACCGAACCGAACCGTAGGTGTTTGGTTCGGTTTTGGTTTTTACCCTTCAAAACCGCATCGAACCGAACAAACCGAACAAAAATAAAATATGAAATTTTATTTGTTAAATGTAAGCATTAATCTTAATATCATCAACAATCTTTGAATTTCTTGTGCTAGAGAAATAATGTTTGTGCTATGTTTACTTTAGTTTAGTTTATAAATGCATTTACACATTTATTTCTCATACTGTAACTATATCGATCTATTATGTCTTTTATGTATGTATGTTGCAATTTGTTGCATGATTATATGTTTTTACGGGTTATTAGTAGTAATTAACCTTTATTTTTATGTAACTTAATTTTGTTGTATTGATAAAACAAATAAATATTCATCTCAGCTATATCAGCTATATCACATAGGACGTATGTATTCATATTTTTTTTTTCAAACTCGTCACAAACAATGTAAACTAATAATAGATACACACTTTTATCTCTCCCGCATACTTATATAATTCAAGACATATTTGTTTATTATTTTTCTTTATTTGTTCAAGTATGCTTGCATTTTTATGTAATACGTTTGATCCCATCAATTTTTAAATCAAATGACAATTTTTTAGTAAAAAACCGAAAAAACCGAAACAGAATCGAAACAAATTGAACTAATCAAACCGTAGTTCCAAGTTTTGGAGTGTAAAACCGAACCAGAAACGAACCGAACTAGAAACGAACCGAACTTTTACTTTGATTCCGTATTTGGTTTTAGGTCAAAACCGAACCGAAAGAACCGAAACCAGGCAAATCAAACTTGTGACCATGCTTTTCTTATTTAAAACATCTTTCTAGCCGATGAATTAGCTTGTTACCAGCTGACTTTCACGTTGAGGTGGTGTTAATTTTTTCCAGCTTAGCCTGTCCACCGTCAATCTTCACTTCCCACACCCTTCCCTACCCGTCGTTCGGTTCTTTCCGATCACACTGTCCCTCCAAGGCGCAGATGCACTCCCCTTCCCCCCTTTAATTTCCGACCGGATTTCACCATCGACAGAAACTGTGTCACGCCCACATCGGCGCCGTCTCCCTCCCTTCTGTCGGAAAAGGACTACACCTGGTCGTGCGAACAAAGGGTTAGCTTGGAATTATTATTTAGATTTTCCTATACCAACCTTTCACCCCAATTTGGGGCGTAAGAAATTGAAAGTTTTGAACTGTTTGAAGCGTTTGGGAAATTATGATGACTGACTAAATTGACAGGCTGCGTTTGTCTCACCATTTTAAAAGTTTCAGGATAGATTTTTAGGGAGATGGGATATGAATCTGGTAGCGCATCACATGATGACCGTGATGAAGGTAATACTTACAATTATACCTCTTAGAAAAAAGAGTCCAAAATGTTGACATATAAATGGAACAAACAAAAGGAGAATTTTTTAAGTTCAAAGAATTATTTTCTATACCAAATTTCAGTTCTTTGAGAACTTTATTTTATTTGAAGAGTGGGTAGATAGCAGTTGAACCTGGATACTGTACGACTACAATGGAATTCATCAAGTTTGAATTGTGGGCATGAATGGACCATTCCCAAATTTGTGATTGCTCCAGAAACTGTTGTAATATTGTCATGATTGTTTTTGTTGTTTTTTTCTGGAATAATAAACATGACATGGTTTTAGTTTTTATATTAACGGATAAACAATACACCATACTCATTAGTATTTAGTCTAAACTTGGATTGAAATTATCATGTGATTATCAGTTGATTGAACTATGACTACAATCAGAGTTATCAGTCAATGCCTTGTTAAATACTTAAGTCCTTTAGATTTCTGATCGTAACACTGTACATCACAAGATCTTGGAAAAGCTCCAAAAAAAGTTAATAAGGAGGTTTCTTAATCATAAAATTTGTTGAATCTTTGGGATCAAGTTTAGCATTAGTAGGCAGTAGAAGTTTTCTTATACATGGATAATTTCTATATATTTTTTCCTTGTTTGGCCGCATGACCCGATGCTATAGTGGTTGTCTTAATAGGAGACAAAGTTTGATTCACTACTCTGTATTTGCTTTGCTAGATGATGATGATGAGTATGAGGATGCTGGTGGTGACAACCGTCTTCTGGGATTTATGTTTGGAAATGTTGATTACTCTGGAGATCTTGATGTTGATTACCTTGATGAGGTGATTATTTATATATTATTTTCGGTTTCTACTTTTGAATCAGTTGTTCTGTTTTTTATTTGTTATTACGTTTTCTTTAAAATTTTTGATGTCATCAACTATTTTCTACTCCGACATGTGCGTTACAATCGAGAGGTTATTATGTTCAACTCTATGAAAAATTCTCTTCATAGAAGCTTTTTAAGTTAATATATTCTGCTCACAGATTAATAGTTTACTTTTCATCTTTTAACTAGAATAGATGTGATGTTACACATGACCTTGAAAGCCAAAATCTGGAGGGGGGGGGGGGCACTTACCAACTAAATAAAGTAGAGTAGATAAAAGGGAAGCGTGATATAGTGACCAGACAAACAAGATTAGTGGTTCCTGCTGTTTCTGGGTGAAAGTAAGAATTACAAGTTCAAGATTGAGCATTTATGGCTTGCGAGACATGGTAGTAAAAACTGTGAATGGGGAAACATGTATGGAATAAGAAAAGTAAAAACAGTTTCCTTCTTGACTGGTAGTATAATGCCCGGCCCCTTATTCCCAGCTTTACTGATTTTTTGTATGGGAATTTGAACTTATCTACAAAAATTGCTCGTTTGGTGCGTTCCTTTACTTTTATTACAATTATGTCTTTATGGAATTGAGTTGTCTCATATTCTATATCCATGTGTATTTAATGAGGTCTCTCAATGCACCAAAGTTTTACTTCCACTAGCTTTCTCTAAGGGCTGCACTTATTGTTCCAGGATGCGAAGGAGCATCTTGCTGCATTGGCTGACAAGCTTGGTCCATCCCTGACAGATATTGATGTGAGGTTCCTGACTTCCCACCTCTCATTTCTGTCATTTGTTCAGCATTTTAGACTTTAAACGGTCTGAGATTTATGCTGGGCCATCTTTTTCTCATTGGTGGATATATTGATCTGATTTTTGTTTACTTATTGCTTTGGTGGGGGGCTCCCCTAAAAAATTTCAGTTGTCGGTGAAATCGCCTCAATCACATCCAGATGCTGCTGAACAAGGTGATGATGTTGTGTGCCAGGGAATGCTAACTCATGCAGTTTTTTGTTTTCATTTGGTATTTTAATTTCTTGAGCTAATGACTATTATTTTTGCTACCATCTCTAAAACTGATTTTTCTCCTTCATCTTCAAGCTGGTGTGGTTCTGATTGGCTTAGTTATCTTCTTTGTTATTTACAAAGTAGATTATGATGGCAAGGCGGAGGATGCAGTGGACTATGAAGATATTGATGAGCAATATGAAGGCCCTGAAGTTCAAAATGCCACTGAGGAGGACCTTTTATTGCCAAAGAAGGATTATTTCTCTAAGCAAAATTTAACAACTACTTTTGACTATACAGCCTCTGTTTTTGATGATGAAAACTACGATGAGGATGATATAGAAGAGGACAAAGAGGAAGATGGGGTTGAGAACATTTATGAAGCCCGACAATATCCTGAAACAGGTCAGATTTGAACTACTAGTTTTTTTAATCATTGATTGATGCTTATCAAGTATCTCCGTTAAGCGGAATTTCTGTGTTTTTAAAGTCTTGAGTCTTGACTATGCCCTTATCTGATGGAACTGGGTGAAGCAAATATATATGTTTTTTATGTGTCCTTCCAATGCTGAAGCTCAGGGCATAACTTTGTATATTTTAATTACACTAGGTACTTTTGCTATGTGTTTTTACAGTAAATTTTCCTTCCATTTTCACTTGAAATGACCGTAATTGTCATACAGATCTTTCAGGGAAATGTAACCCTGATTTAAAATCAGCATCCGAAGGGGACGATGTTCCTAAAGATGTCATACCCTCATATTCTGAAGAGCCTGCAAAAGATGCCCAGCCCTTGGATTCTCCTGAATATGTAGATGTTTCTGATTTTCAGGTTTGTTAGACTCATCTTTTCATTATCATCATTATCTTCTTCTTCTTCTTCTTCTTCTTCTTCTTCAATTCAAAGGTTTATCTCCTCGCAGATTTTTTTTGAAGGTTTATCTAATTGTTATTGGTTTCCTTAGGTCAATTCTTCATTCAAGATCAATATAATTGGTATATAAATTCCAATGTGGTAAAACTGTAAAAATGGAGACGATGTTTAAATGTTTGATGTCACTTTGAGATGTGAGCAGTAGAGAATTAAATTGAAAGATTTGTTTTTGTGCTGAAGTTGAACCTACCCAACTTAAGAGTTAAGCCATTTTAATCTATCCTTACGTGTGCGACTCATGAAATTGTAGTTTAAAATTAATTGAGCTTTAATAGTTGGTAAGAAGTAATTCTTGAGTTGGCTCGTCATGAATCTTGACATGATTTTCAGGAGTCTGATGCTTTTGAAGAGCCATCTGATGCTAAAAGGTCTACGCCACTACCTATTCTTTGTATAGAGGATGGACTGCCTATCCTACGATTTTCTGAAATATTTGGCATTCATGAACATCGAAAGAAGACCGAGAAGAAGGAACACCGTTACTCTGTTGCCAAAGGTATAACATTCTTGTGTTTCTAGGGATTTAGTTGAACCATGGTAGTCCTGCCATGGGAGCACTGGGCTGGCGTTTTTACTATTTACAAATTACAATAATATAAAGATGGCTGGGAATCCTATAATTTAATTATCTTCTCAAACGATTGTCCATCTATTTTTCATTTCATTGTCTTCTTCAGGCTTTCTTTTAGTATTTCTAGTCTAGTAAGTAACATCAGTAGAAGAGGGAAACTAGAAGAACGTGAAGGGTGGGGGACACAGATATAGAATACTCCCTCCGTCCCGGAATTATCTTCATACTTTCCTTTTCGGTCTATCCCAAATTTATCTCCACTTTCCCTTTTTAGCAAAGAATTTGTGGTTCACAATCATTCTTACACATTCTTACACATTTCTCTTTCCTCTGCACAACTCTCCACCACACATTTCCCACTATCTTAATCTGTGTGCCATTTGTACTTCATGAGATAAATATGGGACGGAGGGAGTAATAAGATTCAACTGTTGTGTCTTGAATCATAGTAATTGGTACTTAGAGCAGGCTTATTATTATAGATATCTTGCATATTTGCATGTTCAATTACATTTTATCTTACTAATGGCGGGGTTTCCTTTTTCACTTCCCAGAAAAGTACAACTTGGATAGTTCCAAAGTTCTTGAAGAAGATGAAGAGAATATTTTCAGAGGCTCGTATAATGACTTTCCTTGGCTGAGAGTGTCACGTATAACCAAAGAAAGCATTGCTATAGATGATGAGTCGGGATCATTTCAGGAGACTGGCAGAATAGCTGCAAAAGGCGATGATATGAAGAAAGACTCTTGTTATGGATCTGAACCAATGAAGCTGAATGTCCCACACAATATTTCTGCTGAGTGGAACTCACTCTCTTGCCCCAAGTTCTGTCCTCTTGATCAACAAGATTGGGAGGATAGAATTATTTGGGAAAACTCTCCAGTTTCCAGTGCTGAGGTGGCAGAGAGTATTGAGACTGCTGAGAGTATCGAGACCTCTGGACCCAATTGTGGTGAATCTTTTGATGAACAAACACAAATGGTGGCCGACTCAGGAACTTCAGCCTTGGAACTAGAAATTGAATCCCATGAAAAAGAAAAAAAGTCTTTTATCCACCTTGGAGCTGTTTCTGTGGAGCGTTTTGGTTCGAGAGAAACTTTTATTGAAACAGACATGCATTTATATGGTGGTAAATTTCACCCTCAACTTTTGAGGTTAGAGTCTCGAGCTGATATAAATAAGCAAGGTAACTCTGAAGCCGGAGAGGAGTATATGGCCCAAGAAAGAACCCACTCTGATGCATTGAGGCGTTTTGACAAGCTCACATTACTAAATACAGATGTACAGGCAGGATCCTGGTTGGACAACATTATTTGGGAACCAGGTCAAGACACAGTGAAACCAAAGCTAATTTATGATCTTCAAGACAAACAGATGCTTTTTGAAATTCTGGATAACAAGGATAGCACACATCTTCAGCTTCACGCTGGTGCAGTGATAACTACCAGTTGTGTAAAGCCCAATGTCCGCGATGCTGTTGAGATACTTCATGCAGGTCCTACAAGACATTTTAATATTGCCAATGATGAATTTTATTCCAACAGGAAATCTTTACCGCAATCAAAATCACATTCAAAGAAGCGCACTGCTCATGCTCTCAAAGTTCTGCATTCAATTCCAGCTCTTAAGCTGGAGACTATGAAGGCAAAGCTAAGCAAGTGAGTGTTCTGTTAACTGCATACTTCTTGTACTTGGTTCCTTGGTGGTGGTTTCAGGCTTTCAGCTAATGTCATACTTAGAATTCAGTTAATTTAGTTTCTTTTCTGACCTATTTTACAAAATGTAGTGGTAATTATATAATTAGTTTTTGTATATGCTGGTTGTTGCTGCAATGTGATACATAGTAACATGTTTTGTAGCTAAAGTAAACTCAAAGCTGAATCATGTACATCTTCCAAAATCCCAATGAAACTTACTGTGTTGAAACTTGTTTTTATTACCCCCTATGAAAGAAAGGTAGATCTCAGAACCATACTGTTTATCCCCAACGAAAGAAAGGTAGATCTCATGTCTATAGTTAGACGACTTGAGGGGTGGGGAGAAGAGTCAGAGAAGAGAGGGAGGGGAAGACCCAAACAGACTTGGATTAGAGTAATCAGAACTGATATGCGTCTTCTTGGGTTGGATGAGAGTATGGCTTTGGAGAGAGCAAAGTGGAGGGCGCACATCCATGTGGACGATTAATGTCTTGTCTACCTTTCCTCTCTTGTTTCTTTTATCGTTTATCTTCCTTATCTTTTTATATTCTTATGTTATTTTTATCTCCTAGCTTTTTTTATGCTCTTTTATTTATTTTTCTTTTATCTTGGTTATATTCTTGTGTTATTGTTATCTTATATTTATGTATCTTTATTTTATTCATTTTATCTTACTTTTTTTTCCTTTTCTTGTCCGCCTTCTCTTTTTGGCATCGATATCATAGATCGATTCATGTTAGCCGACCCCAAATTCTTTTGGGATTAAGGCTTGGATGTTGTTTATGTCATACCAAGTGTTTTCCATGTTGAGAGCTCTATTACTTATCTTGGACTGAATGAATCGGAATTTTGGGTAAAATTCAGGATGTCTCACTGGGATACCCTTGGTTGAAATCTCTAACGTGGCTAAGTTATTGTACTTGTACTTTTACATGTCCCCAGCCCCAACTAATTTATCATTTACAAGTGACATGACAATATTGGCGCACTTGATTTCTTATTGGACATTGCTGGTTAATAATTTACTGGTAAACAATCAGTATTTAGAACGAATGTCCCAAAAGGAAAATTGACAATCAACTAGTATGGGAAGGAGTATATTTTAAACATAGATGGTCCTCAGGCAACGGCGTAATGCTTAAGTTAGAGGTTACTTTTTATTCGGTCTAAACTTACATTGTCTAGAAGAGTGACTTAGTGTTTTTTTGGCTTTGTAATGAAGCCATGAAGTGAATCTTGGACTAAAGAGTTATTTGTGCATTTCAAATTTAGTTAAAGTTCATCGCCTTAAGAGAACAATGAGAACATCTTTCTTTCCTCATCTTTTTTTATTGATTCATTTGGATATTTTTCAGTTGATTGTAGTATGCATATCAATAATTTTCTAAAATTAACTAACAATATAAATTCATGTGCGGGATGGCCCTCTAGTAGCATTGTAGCAACCAGCGTTATCAAAGTGTGGTAGTAACACACTAACACCACTATAGAGCTATTTAATAGTTAATTTCATTGAGTCCAGTACGAAAATAGTGGTGGGATGTAAGTTCCGTTGTAAGGGAAAAGATTGCAATTATTTCATTTTGCGGGAATTGCAGGAATAACAGATAATAGCTGCTATTGCATCTTACGAAGGGAAAATGAGATGAGATTCTAAGACCATAAATGTCTTATTTATTTAAAATTTCAACTTGTGTGCAACTAGCATAACTTGACAATGAAATGAGATAGTTTGGATCCGCCCCTATGTATTTGTCCCTTACTGTGTTTGCCTATTTGGTCATATCTGTGTGGCTCAAAACTATTCATGCTTTACAAATTCATTATCAATCACACAATTCCAATTTTCTTAATTTATTTGTCACCTCACCTTGTCCCAACTCCCAAGCTTAATGTGATTTAGGGAGTATTATTCACGTTACTCATATCCCATTGCATTACTGATGGTGATATCGAAAACCAACACGCATATCATGAAACATGACCAAATTTTGAGTGCCTTTACACTATCCAAAACTAAGGTGTATTTCTGTAGTTAGCATTAATGTTTGGTTTTTTAAATATATATTGCAGTAAAGATATTGCCAATTTTCATCGGCCTAAAGCCCTATGGTATCCCCATGATAATGAGGTCGTGCTCAAGGGTCAATGGAAGCTGCCTACACAAGGACCTACGAAAGTTATATTGAAGAGTTTAGGAGGAAAAGGAAGTAAGTTTCACGTAGGGTCTGAGGAAACTGTCTCTTCACTCAAGGCAAAAGCTTCAAAAAAGCTAGGTTGGTAGTTTCTTATATTTATAATGTGTTGAAACTTTTGAAATCATCAATAATTGCATTGAGTTTGCAGATTTTAAACTCCCTGAACCAGTAAAGATATTTTACTCGGGTAGGGAGCTTGAAGACCATAAATCTCTTGCAGAACAAAATGTTCAACCGAACTCCTTGCTACATCTTGTTCGCACAAAAATTCAATTGTTGCCCAGGGCACAAAAGCTCCCGGGTGAGAACAAGTCTTTGCGTCCTCCTGGGGCTTTTAAGAAGAAATCTGATCTTTCCGTTAAAGATGGTCATGTTTTCTTGATGGAGTAAGTTTCTCAAAGTCATATTATCCATAATTTATGGTGCAAACTTTTATTGGATTGTAAGCTTTGGCTTCTGCTAGTTCCATACACTTAATATTTTGCAGTTTGCACTTTGCACCTAACCTTCTATGGGTTACTCTTAATTACATTTTTGCTGAGTATTTGCCATCTGCAAGGCCATAAATTGATGGAAGTGTCTCATTACCTTGTGAATAACACTATAAACTATCCCACCCCCCTCCTAATATGTTTGTACAGCTCTTCATTTTGTATTATCTTCTTTATGTACATGTTACATAATACTTTTCAGTTTTCATATGCTGGGACTTTGATACTGTCATGTTTATTTGTGTAGGTACTGTGAGGAGAGGCCTTTGCTTCTAGGTAATGTCGGAATGGGTGCAAGATTGTGCACCTACTACCAAAAATCAACTCCAAATGATCAAACAGGCATATTGATGCACAATGACAATAACAGATCGGGGAGTCTCATTGTACTTGATCCTGCCGATAAATCACCTTTTCTGGGTGACATAAAACCTGGCTGCAGCCAGTCTTCCCTCGAGACAAATATGTATCGAGCTCCTATATTTCAGCATAAAGTTTCATCAACTGATTATCTATTGGTACGCACTGCAAAGGGGAAGCTGTCTATCAGGCGCATTGACAGGATTGATGTTGTTGGACAACAGGTTGTTAGTAGTTGCGAACTTATTTTTAGAATTTTTTGAACCATCTTTATAGCCTTCTGACCGTCTTTTTTCCGGAAGAACAAGTGACAACTTGTTACTTGCTAGTGGTTATAAACTTATAATGCATTTTGCAAAACAAATCGTTGGCATCTTTATTTACAACATCTTTAACATTTTTCCCCCACATTTATAAGGATGAACTCCCTTGGAGATCTCTTGCTGAATTTTTGTTCTTAATGCAAGAGGGATCATTCTTCAAGATTAGTTCTGTAGCCTTTATTGTGTGTCAGCTTCTAAAAGAACATTGACAATATGTATAGAATGTTCTCATTGTCTATGCTCTTAGAGTTTGTCTAAATCCACGATGCACACATTTTTCTAAAGAGTATGTGTGTAGGACACGCTAGTGACTGGGGCCATATTTTTATAAAGGAATGAGGTCTTTTTAAAATAGTTCTGAATTATGGAATACTGGACCACTGGTTCAAAATTTAAAACCTTAGATTTCCATCTATTTTATTTCAAGCACAGACATAGAACACATACACACATGCATGTTCCCGTACCCGAATCGCATATTTTTAGAAAGTGTCTTTTCTTGCACCTCAGTGTCCCTGCCTTACTATTTGTTTTGGTTTTTCTCTCTAATTTATAGGAGCCTCACATGGAGGTGATGACTCCGGGATCAAAAGGAGTCCAAGCATACATTATGAACAGGCTATCTGTATACATGTATCGTAAATTTCTGGCTGATGAGAAGCGTGGTGTGCGGCCTGTTGTCCATGCAGATGAGCTGTCTGTGCAATTTCCTAGCTTTTCAGAGGCTTTCCTTCGGAAAAGGCTTAGAAATTGTGCTGATATGCAGGTATTGCTGTGTACTAACCCTGGTGCTACACAGAGCATTTCTATGTTAACCATGTAGCATTGTGCTCACCCCCCATAGATACTAGTTACAATTTTGTGTTCGATATTCCCTATCTTTGCATTTCTAAGTGAATTTACAATTTCTGTGTCCTTATGCGGTTCATCAGAGAGGATCAAATGGACAGTTGGTTTGGGCTATGAGAAGCAGTTTCCGCATTCCATCAGAGGAGGAATTACGGAGGATGGTGACTCCTGAAATCGTGAGTGTATAACATTGCCTTATGAAGTTCTATCCTTTAAGCGTTCTGCATTTACCGGAGTTGTAATGTTTTAGCTTTATATAGAGTGTTTTGACACAATGGGCTGATGTGAAATGGAAAATATTATTACCCAATGGTATGGGTGAAATGGTATGGTTCCGGTCTTAAAGTATGAAAACTTTAACATTTACCGCTTTGGAGTGGTGGGGTCCTGCTCTACCTGGCAGTTCACAGTCCAGGTTCCATCAGATCTGAACAGGAAAGGTTTAAACTAAAAGGACTAAATAGGACCAACATATGGCTGGTTACCTGTTTGGTTCCAGTTCTACGTCCAAAGGTTGAATGCCCAACCCCAAGGCCCCCCACCCCGACCCGACAAGATGGTGGGGAGGTTAATCACGGTGACTCAGTAAACAAAGCGGTAGTAGGGTAATCCGTGCGCACCAGAGGGTCAGCCTTATTTCAGGTTCTGAAAACACCCTTTTGGTCGCTGCGGGATTCGAACCTTGGTCTACGTCCATTTTTTCCCACCGCTCGACCAATTGAGCTACCCATGCGAGTAGTTTGGTTCCAGTTCTAAAACCGTTCAGCGGTGCAGTTTTTGGTTTAAATAAATGATCCTGGTCTGGTTTTGGTTGGAACCGCAAGTCGCGACCATGTCCACCCCAATCAGATGATTGCTAAAAGTGATGAGGATAATCCTATATGTGTATCAAATATCTATCAAATAATTATTATTACAACAACAAACAACACCCAAGACTTAGTCCCAAAAGAGTTTGGGGTCGGCTAACATGAATCGACATATGAAATCGGAGTTAAAATGTATAAAAAGAAATCAATTCTCTTCACGTATATTCTACTTCCACTTCGTTGTCTCAAGAGTCATACTCTCATTCAACCCAAGAAGTACCATATCATTCCTGACTACTCTAATCCACGTCTGTTTGAGCCGTCCTCCCCTCTCTTAATTCGCCTAACAAGTGCATCACTTGGTCTTTTACGTACATGACCAAATAAATATTATCACATGAATAAAATTAGCAATTTTTTAAAGCAAGATATAGTCTAAAATTAGCAAGACTTTATTAGACGAGTCATGTATAGTCCAATCATTTTTGCTAAATTATGTTTTACATTGCACTCCATCATTTTCAATGGAGCCAGAGACTCACTAAAGCCAAAAACATCAAAGCAAAATGGATCACTAAAATGTATGTGCTTTGTTATGAAGCAGCAGTTAGTCCATGCAATATTCGACTTGATTTTCATCCGCCCCCCTTACCCCACCGTAGGTGGGAGCCTTTGCGGCACTGGGGTAATGTTTTTTGTTGTTTTCTATGTTTTACATTGCACAGTAGTAGACATAGGTAATGAAAACTTGTATTTTATTTTGAGTTCGTCTTTCTTTCTAAATCGATTTTTTTGTATAAACCAGTAAACAGCTCATATTGATGACATAGATATAGTTGGTGAAGAATAAATGTTGATACCCTGGGTTTTTAATGTCCTCCGTATGATTCTTTTTCACTTCCAATGGTCGATCTTGAGGTTGTATGTTTCTTCATCATGCAAGGTTTGTGCATATGAAAGCATGCAAGCTGGTCTATACAGGCTCAAACGCTTGGGGATTACCCGGCTAACTAACCCTTCAGGCCTTTCCGCTGCAATGAATCAGCTTCCAGATGAAGCGATTGCCTTGGCTGCTGCATCACATATAGAGAGGGAACTGCAGATAACTCCTTGGAACTTGAGCAGCAATTTTGTTGCATGTACAAACCAGGTATCTTATTTTTATTTGATTTAATCTACTTATTGGCAGGCTTCGGATAACATTTTCTGCTGTTATGGCTTTTTACTTGTACTTAGTTTGATATTACCTCCATCCCTGAACAGGACTACCTCTTTTACTTGGCACACTTAATTAGAACAGATAAATTGTGTGGCTAAATTTATGTATTAGAGAGAAGAAAAATTTGAACTACACAATTATTTACTTAAAAGGAAAGATGAACCTTGTTTTGGGACAAACAAAAAGAAAGGGAAGTGTTTGTAAGTGATGGGAGAATTTGAAGTTTTTTTATTACTGTAGACGTAATTGATGTAGATATTTTGATTTTTTTTTGTGTTTGTATGCATCGCTATCTGAGGTCTTGAACTCTTTAAAATTCTTCTATTTATCAGCCACATAAAGTACTACCTACCTATAAAAGGGGAGAAAAACAACTCCCATCATTACATCATGGTCTAAAATCGTGTTTACTTGCTGGAGTTGAATTTCATCTGCAACTCTTTGTTCATAATTCTAGATGTTGTTTTGCTTTTACTTTTCATATTTTTCTTTTTTTTCATACTGTTCTGTCCATCATTAGGAGTGAATTGACATCTTAGAGATACCTACGATGTTTTTGTCTGTTGATAGTAATTGTTATTGCTAAGTCCAGTTGTGGTAGGTTTGATAACTTCAATGCTGAGTATTTTTCTGCGGATTTCAGGCCTTTGCAGGTGCCATGGATTTGATCATTGACTGTTTGTTTTGTGAGTTCTTTGTATAGGACAGAGGTAACATTGAGCGTATGGAAATTACCGGGGTTGGAGATCCCTCTGGACGGGGATTAGGGTTTAGTTATGTCCGTGCTATTCCAAAAGCTCCCATTTCAAATGCAATGACAAAGAAAAAAGCAGCTCTTACTAAAGGATCAACTGTTACTGGAACAGATGCTGATCTACGTAGGCTGAGTATGGAAGCTGCACGTGAGGTGCGCCCACATGCCATAATATTGAAGGCGACTCATTTGTCAATCTATGTAGTACGGACTACGGAGTATTAATTCACTTTAAAACACATATTCTTTTGTGCATATTGTATCAGACTCGGCCATTTTTTTCGTTTTTTTCTACGGATGGAGATATCTTAGAGCCCATTCATAAGGTTGAAATTTGCAGTCTTTCGCTAAATGGTGGTTGATATTTTTGATGTTCCTAAAATTGCTGAATATGGAAATATATATCTGAAATATGAGTGTTTTTATTGTTCAATAAATAAAAATATGAAAAAAGGTTTACACGATCATCAAAAGCAACTACAACCAAAATAGTAGTTACTTTCATTATTACCAATTCAGCGCTCGCAGACAAGTACAATATTTTCTTGATAAAACATATGGACGATAAACTGAAAGAAGTGGCTATCCGTGACCACTTATTGTCACCATTCAAATCAAATTCAGATTTTAGTGCGTTCTTCACGTATTGCACTGATGGGAGTTCTTTTGATGTTTAGGTTCTCCTTAAATTCAATGTTCCAGAGGAGCAGATTGCCAAACAGACTAGGTGGCACAGAATTGCCATGATTAGGAAACTGTCAAGTGAGCAAGCTGCTTCGGGTGTAAAGGTTGATCCCACAACAATAAGTAAGTATGCTCGTGGTCAACGCATGTCCTTTTTGCAATTGCAGCAGCAGACTAGGGAAAAATGTCAGGAGATATGGGACCGGCAAGTCCAAAATCTTTCTGTTGTCGATGTGGAAGAGAACGAGAGCGATGCTGAGGCCAACAGTGATCTAGATTCTTTTGCGGGAGACCTAGAGAATCTTCTTGATGCAGAGGAATGTGAAGAGGACGATGAGGGTGTGTGTGACTTAAAGCATGACAAATTAGATGGTGTCAAGGGATTAAAGTGTAGAAGGCGTTCGTTTCAAGCTCAGCTCGAAGAGGAAATTGAAGATGAAGCTGTTGAAGCTGCAGAGTTGTGCAGGATGCTCATGGATGGTAATTTTCTTTTCAAATCCGTTTTTAGTGAAATATGGCTGTGAGAATCTATGTGTGCATCCGAGTCCTTTTGAGGGAGAAATTATAGAAAAAGAGTGGTATCCTGTGTCAAAGCAGTTAATCACAAGTGGAAGCCTGGGAAATTCCTGTCACCTTTTCTTTCTGTAAGGAGATGAATTCTAGAGCCTTGTATCTCAGGACACAATAGGAGAGAGACTCCAATAGTAGAGCCAGGTCTGCCCACCGTTTTGAGGGTGAAGGTATATGAAAAATCATTCTTGAAGAGACATAAAATGAAAAAGAGGTTTAGCGACCAGATGCATCAATATCTGCCTCAGTATCTCCTTAGCCATTTATAGATTTAATTTCACTTTTGGTCCATATCTATTAGTTCATTCCCACGGTTGATCTGTCACCTTCATTTTTTACACTTTGGTGCATGGCTTTAGACTCCTCAATGCTTTTGTTCCTTCTGACCACCTTTTTTGTATAATTTTCTGCTGTTTTTTTGCTGAATAAGTGGCTAACGGACCAAAGTTGAAAGAAATACGTAATTAAGGTTAGGAAAAATGAAAGAAGGGGCAGAGCCAGTCCTGTGTTTTTTAAGGCGTAAGGGCGAAATTTTCATGATCTCATTTATTACGTATGAAGTCAATAAAGAAAAGAATTGCTTTCTATTGAGACTATAAAATTTGAATTTAAACAAAAAGAGCAACACAATTATCCAACAAAATCTTAAAAATCTGTTTTTTTTTGTAAAATGTTGTGAAGAAAATTTTCATTCACAATTACACCTTCATAATAAGTAAAATTTAAAATAATTAAATAAATATAAATTTGCATACGAGCAACATTTGAACAAATCAGTAAAAATGCACACTATCACACGCAATGACACAACAAATCTTAGTTAGTAAAAAACGGATACCTGAAATTGTAAAAAAAACGAATACCCACAGTTCGGGCTGTTGAGACTGTGCCTGTTCCGAATTCGGATTTTGTTTAATGCTTTAAAAAAGTTTTGTATTATTATTTGGGACTAAGGCTTGGATGTTGCTGAAACAAATTTTATATTAACATATTTGTCTAAAATATGCATATAAAATATTAAAGCTTGGATCTAAAAAAGAAAATAGAATCATATTCACAACATATATAAAGAAAAGTTATTGGGCCTAAAAACTTCCATTTTTTGGGCCTAGGGCTGTCACCCCTCTTGCCTTCCCCCTAGGGCCGCCGCTGAGAAGGGGGAAAATGGTAACATTCTTGCTCTTTCCAAGTAATATATGCTTGAACAGTCTCATGACTATCTTGCATGGTGATGCTCTCTCCTTTTTTTGTTTCATTTCATGTCCCTAGCTATAGCGTGTAACTCATGTTACTGCAGAATCTTAACACATTACTTAAAAAGTTGAATCCAGCTTGTTATCAGGATACATGTGTAGACCGTCTCTTGATGCTCATTGGAAGCATTTAGCTTTCTTACTATGTTGGAGTTAACATTTTCCTCTTTGTAATTCATTTCTAAATAATCCTATTTTCTTTTAAGTCTCGTTTTAGGTTTTTGCGACATATTAAGAACACATTTTTTTTATAAAAGCTATGATATGACTAGAATACTCTTATTATTGAAACGTACTCTAGTGTTTACGGATGGAGAAGGGTAATGTCATTAGTACTCATTTTTTGATACCATGAAGCCACAGTTGTTTAAGAGTAAGACCAATTCCCCCCTCTCTGAAGCGACAATTTCTCGTATTTCTGTGTGATGTAAGCTATTATACATTTGGCAGATGATGGTGCTGATCGAAAGAAGAAGAAAAAGGAAAAATTTGTTGGTGAGCGAGTTGGATTGGCTCCTGAGGTACAATCACGGTTTGTTATGGAAAATGCTGAACGTGGGAAGAATATTGGTGTGTCTACAAAACCAGTCATCAAACCCGAAGGGTTGAATGCATTTAAAGACGATATTTCTGTGGATCTGATAGAGGTTTGATGTGCTCCGTTATGTGCTTCCAATAGAGCGTTGTGTGCTGTACAAGATGTGCTGTTGTCAAGAAATAAATGGACATTGTCTCATTTTGATTATATGGGTGCAGGTTGATGATGGTTTACTTGCCAAAAGGAACTTTTTTAGCAAGATGAAACCAAAGAAAAAATTTGATCTTCCAGAGAGTGGGTTAGTAAAAAAGAGAGTTAAAATACTTGCTGAAGGAATTCAGGTAAATCTGTACGGGACTTATATGTGTTGTTTTTATAGCTGCTGCTATTATTATTATGGTTATTATGATGATGGTGATTACTACTACTACTACTACTACTATAACGGTTACTGTTATTATGGCTCTGGCTATTACTATTATTAATGGTCATATGTGAGAATTTTGCACCAACCGTCTTGTTCTTTAAATATGAATCTGCTTTTGGATGCTATAACAATTACTCCCTCCGTTCCAAATTGATGGTCCTATACTTTTTGGGCTCAAATATTAAGAAAGAGTGGTAGAATGACCCATATAACCTTACATTATTGTAATGTTCACTCCTTTACTTTTACTATTCATAAAAGGAAGGGGTATAAATGGTAATCTACTTTTAACTTTTTTGCCAAAAGGGGAAACATGACCATCATTTTGGGACATCCCAAACAGGAAATATAGGGCCATCATTTTGGGACAGAGGTAGTATTAAGTTTTTAAGTAGTTCCTAAAACCAAGTTCTTGATAAACTATGATCATCTTTTTGTCTTCTGGACAACATTATATGCTTGTTATAATCTGAGCCGTCTGATTAAAAATTTAAAATCAGATGGTTGCAATACAGCATGTAGCTAGTTTGGGGTTTGTGATTGAGACAAGCAGCAGCTGTTTGTCTTTTTAGGTGAAGCATCACATGCAGTCGTCATATCAAGATCAAGACGGTTGAGTTTCAAACTAGTAGCCATGTGGGCAAATCCAACCGTCCAATATTTTCTGACGGCTGTAGTTGAGGCATGCATGTTGATCCTAAAAACAAACAGCAAAGCTGGATCAGTGTGTGGAACTAGGATATTGTAATAATTTCTCTTTTCGACCTGTCTAAAACTCTACATGTGTTGATTCCAATTTTAAAAACATATTCCCTTGAACAGAATGTCAAGGAGAAAAAGTCAGCCAGAGAGACTTTTGTATGCGGAGCTTGTGGTCAGGTATGCATTACATATACTAAGGCTATGTTTGGAACACAGAAAATGGTGAGATGAAGAAAATAAACATGCAATGGAAAATAGTTTTATGTGTTTGGTTTTACCATGAGAAATACAAATCAAAATCACAATTGATCATTACTGTCTAATAAACATCATTCATTTGGATTTCTTTTCCAGATAGACGTTGGATAAAATTAGGGTAAATTTTATCGAACAACAATTAGGCCTGCATTAATGTATGGTGTTGGGCGGTGAAGCAATGCCACATTCAAAAGATGAGTGTGGCAGATATGCGTATGTTGCGTTGGATGTGTGGACATACCAGAAAAGACCGTTTGAGGAATGAGATAATCTGGGAGTAGCACCCATAGAAGATAAGATGCAGGAGTCTCGTTTGCGGTGGTTTGGGCATGTGCGTAGAAGATCGAGTGATGCACCTGTTAGACGACTTGAGGGGTGGGGAGAAGAGGCACACAAGAGAGGGAGGGGAAGACCCAAACAAACTTAGATTAGAGAAATCAGAACTGATATGCTTCTTCTTGGGTTGGATGAGAGTATGGCTTTGGAGAGAGCAAAGTGGAGGGCGCACATCCGTGTGGACGATTGATGTCTTTTCTACCTTTCCTCTCTTTTATCTTTTATCGTTTATCTTCTTTATCTTTGTATATTCTTATGTTATTTTTATATTCTAGCTTTTTTATGCTTTTTTTTTATAATTTATCTTTCTTATATTCTTGTGTTATTGTTATCTTATATTTATTTATCTTTATTTTATTCATTTTATCTTAGATTCGAGGTTGCAGCATCATTGACGTTGTCCGTCAATATTTTATTTATTTTTCTTCCCTTTCTTGTCCGTCTTCTCTGTTTGACATCGATATCATTGATCGATTCATGTTAGCCGATCCCAAATTCTTTTGGGATTAAGGCTCGGATGTTGTTGTTGTTATGTTATTTTTATCTTCTAGCTTTTTAATTTTCTTTTATTTTTTATATTTTATCTTTCTTATATTCTTGTGTTATTGTTATCTTATACTACCTCCGTTCTCTTTTAATTGCAACATTGGACTCTTTGCACTATTCACATGTTCTACTTTGACTATATTTTATTTATTAATGTATTATAAATTAAATTTTTAAAAAATATTTTTAAATTCTTCTCATTTTAAAATCTCAATATCCGATTTTTTTAATTTTTTTACTAATAAGGAATGAAAGATAATAATGATCAAACTTGTGCGTTGGCAAGCGTGAAAAGTTGACCGTTGCAATTAAAAAGGAACGGAGGAAGTATTTATTTATCTTTATTTTCTTTGTTTTATCTTACTTTTTTTCTTCCCTTTCTTGTCCGTCTTCTTTGTTTGGTATCGATATCATAGATCGATTCATGTTAGCCGACCCCAAATTCTTTTGGGATTAAGGGTCGGATGTTGTTGTTGTTGTATAGACGTTGGATTAAACATGTATAAATAGAATGATTTAAAACTATATCTCATGGTTCAAAATTACGCAGCGCCTTGTGGTGCAACTCACACATTTTTAGCACAATTGCACTTTGAGGTTATATACCCAGTGGCAGAAATGGCAAGGCTTATGATGTTTTGGCATGAGGGTATGCCTCGTTGCGCAACACCTTGAGGAGTTGCCGAGGCTTATGTAAGGATGGTTTTATTTTGGCCCACACTTTCTCGCTAAAAAATAATTTTATTTTTCTGTTGTCAACTTTACCCGATAGTCCTACATGACTTCTCCTCTCTCTATTCTCTATTGCGTCATTGTGAAACTTCTCCAGTTTTCCAACACGACTTCTCCTAGTTGACGCTACAGGTTTCTTCTCCAACTTCTCTCTTTCTTCTCCTTTTTGTAATTTATTTTTTTCCTGACGGTGTCTTCGTATCTTCAGTTTTTTCTTATTCAGATAGATTGTATCTTTTTCTGTTCTGCAGCCTTTTTGTGTTTTTTATGTAGCACGGAATATTTGATATCATCAATTATGTGATCCTTGAATTTCCTATTTCCTGGTGCTCTGGCCTCATTGTAGTTCTATTTGTACTAAAAACTGAGCTTTACGCCTCATTGCCCAATGAGAGTTATTGCCATAATCAATCCAAGAAACTGCCCAACCCTTCAACGCGAAATTACTAACACTGCAATTAATTTCTTCAGTAGGAATTATTATTGATGTTGGTGAATGCTAGTGTTGCTTCTAATAAGTGAGGGTATGGTACATATAAATGATATAATGCGTATCATTGATCCATGTCCCCAGTTCATCATTTTTTTATGTTTGAATGATGTAATTGCAATTTCTATCATTTGCAATGGAGCCAAAGATTCACCATTTTTTGGCTTGAGAATATGATGGAATAAAGCAAAATGGCTCACTAAACTGTCTGCGCTTCTTTGTTATGAAGCAGCAGTCAGTCCATGCAATTTTGGACGCGATTTTCACTATGGGTCATCCGGAAACAGTCTCTCTGTGCTTTAGTACAGGGGTAAGACTGCGTACATCCGACCCCCCTACCCCACTGTAGGTGGGAGCCTTTGCGGCACTGGGGTAAATGATGATGATGAATGATGTAATTGCAATATACTTATCCCTTATAGAATTCATCTTTGTTTTACCCCCCTGCATTCTCTCTCCCCATCAGTTTTCCTTCATTCTTGCTTTCCCTATCATTTTCTTGGTTCCAAACGTATGCTAAGTTTATATATTTATTGAAAGTTTGTAGGTATACTAATATTCTTTTATGTATTATTATATGCACACAAATCTACCAGCTTGGCCATATGCGAACTAACAAGAACTGTCCCAAGTATGGAGAGGATGTTGAAAGCCTAGATCCAGAAAAAGCATTGGTGAAATCTAGTTCAACTGAGCGTGCGGATACCCCTCTTCTACAGAAGCCCCTGTTGAAGAAGATCATACAAAGAAGCGCAACAAAAATTGCAGTGGTTGAGGCAGCTCAAGAGGAAGAAAAGTCTGGTAGCTCGAAGGCTAAAGTCCTTAAGTTCAAATATGGGTCAATGGAAAAAATCTCTGATAAACCTACTACCACTACATCCCTGAGTTCTGACAAACCTGTTGCGTCAGATGGAGAAACTGGATCCAAATCGGTGGTTAAGATCAATAGGTTAAAGTTTTCTCATAATAATACTGATAACAATATGATTCCCCCTGAAGATTCTGCAGGCGCTGAATCACGCAAACCTTGCATTCTAATAAAACCACCAAATGAGGCACACAAGAAAATTGTTATCAAACAATCAAAAGACTCCTCTAATGTAGAGGAAGTCAGCCAAGAAGGAAGCGGCAGGTCTGAACGCAGGAAGATGAAAAAAATGGTTGACTTGTCATATTTTGATATGCAAACGGAGCGGGTAAATTATCACAATTTTCCGGAAGAGGCATCAAGGAGGAAAAGTACGCAGAGTAAGCATAAGCTATGGGAAGAGCAAGAGAGGAGGAGAGTCGAGAGGGAAGAGAGAATGTTGTATGAGCAACAACATAAGGCATTTGAAGAGCAGGAAAGGTTGGCTGAACTTAGAAGATATGAAGATAGTTTAAGGAAAGAGAGGGAAGAAGAAGAGGAAGGTCGAAAGGCAAAGAAGAAGAAACAACTTTTGCAAAGACCAATTATCAGGAACAATTACTTGGATGATTTCCCTCCCATGAAACAACATGACAGAAGAGTACTGGACAGAGATAGATTAGCAAAACGCAGACCCGAGATTGATTTGGGGGGGAGGCATAGCATAGACTATACTCCTTCCTCCAAGCGTAGAAGACTAGGAGAGGTTAGTAATTGCACCCCACCCCACCCTACCCCCCGCAGTGGGAGCGAAATTGTTATTTAGCCCCTCAGTTATGTGGCTTTATCAATTCTAATATCTCTTGTTAACTTTTGTAAAAAGTATTCTTTATCAGTTGTTTGTGTACCCCCTTGGTGGCGGTTTTAATCCCCCCCATAAGTCCTGTTAAAAACAGGGGACTAAAATGGGTACAACTGGATTTCCACCCTGGGGTACAATCAAGGATATATTTTTGCAAAAGTTAACAATAAGGACTAAAATTGCACAACTAACAGAAGTCCGGGACAAAATGGAGATGTATTTTTTATAAGAAAATAAGATTTTTCTGGCCAGGATAGATTGCTACATGCAATGTTTTCTTTTGGGTTAATGGCGTTTTTAGTCTCTAGGCTATATAGCTTCAGCAATTTCAGTCCCTCTTCAACTTTTGCAAAGCTATTCTTGGTCGTACCTGTTGGGGACAGTTAGCCATGCTAACAGTGCTGGACTAATATTGCTATTGTTTAGGGACTACAATCGCCAGTTCGCCACCAAGAGGTACAACCAGAATTCTTTTTTCCAAAAATTAACAACGGACTAAATTAGCAAAAACCAAAAGTGAGGGAATAAGAAGGAAATTGACATTTTTAAACCTACGAAAAGAAAATCTTATTGTTGTTGCCGCTGGTATTATGATTATCATTATTATTAAAGAAATTGGGGAAAACGTCTATTGCTTTAAAAAAATCAATCAAATCCCCGAATTTTGAAAAAAATGTGCAATTGAGTCAATTACCAGGTTACCTGCCATGTCAGCAGGTCACCCGTTGACGTGACGGCCCACGTGGTGACTCACATGTGCACCACATCATTAGGAAAAGGTTGATTAGGCTTCCACGTTTCATCGAGTCCATTAGCAGGTTACTCGCCACATCATCAAGTCACCTGCTGATGTGGCACACATGTGGCAGCTGAGTCACCGGTGACTCTGCTGCCACACGTGTGCCACGTCAGCAGGTGACTTGGTGATGTGGCGAGTAACCCGCTAATGGACTCGATGAAACGTTTTTAAAAGTTCGGGGATTTGATTGATTCTTTTAAATGTGCGAGGACTTAATTGACGTTTTCGTGATAGTACAAGGACCAAATTGATAGTTTTTCCAAGAAATTGCCCTCAGTGGGAGTGAAAACAATGTGGAGTTCTAAAATAGGAGTACTATGTTTTAATGCCTTAATTTAGAGTAATTACTGTCATGATTGGAAAATACGGCCAAATATGACATTGATATTGCCACATCAAAGCTTGGTAATTGCAAAATATGGCATTAAATATTAGGATGACAGTAAGTTACTCTTATTCAGGAAAAAATATAGTACAGAGTACTATGTTGGAATTTTACATTTTTAGTCACATTTCGGGAATAGTTTCCCTTGTTATTAGCATTGTTATATTATCTCCAACAAAACATTTGTGCAGGTTGGGTTGTCAAATATATTGGAGGAAATCGTAGAGACCTTGAAGGGAAGGGTAGAGGTCTCATATCTCTTCCTAAAACCAGTGACTAAAAAAGAGGCTCCAGACTATCATAAGTATGTAAAGTGCCCTATGGATTTATCCACCATTCGAGAAAAGGCAAGGAAGTTGGAGTACAAAAACCGTCATCAGTTCAGGCATGACATGGCACAGATTGTCATCAATGCACATCTGTACAACGATAACCGCAATCCGGGTATCCCTCCCCTTGCTGACCAGCTTTTGGAGATATGTGACTTCATGCTGATGCAGAATGATGCTTTATTGTCTGAAGCAGAAGCGAGCATAGATGCTAATACTTAAGTGAAGGAAGCCTGTTACTACATGGATATAACTTGTCTGTTGTATGTAATTTGACCATCTCTAACTTTAGGCGTGTAAAGGACACGGTGGAAGGACTCCTGGATAGATCCCAGCCACTTGGATTGCCTTGCAGAAGAAGTTGTTCTGAACGCATTGTTCTGATGGCCCCTGAGTGAGCGGCCACAAGGCGTACCTGACAAACTGAATCCGCCATGTAACCACTATTCTGATCCGTTAGTAATGTTTAGTTCTGATAACCTCCACCCCCACCCAACGTCTATTGTTAAAAGTGGTTTATTTAGCTCACACCCAGAATAGGTGGTTTGAACTCGGTCTTTTGGCTTAAACAGCCCTTACAGCTGGGCTCTAAATGCCAAATAACAAGTCTAACATCAAGAATTTCAAATGGGAGAAGTGGGGGTACTCTTCTCCTACACATGGATAAGGCGTCCTAGCTCCTATGTGGAACCATAACAAGCCTGCCTGATAATTGGACTGCTTGAGTGAGGTCACTTTTAGGCATTGAGACCAATTTTCAATCTCAACTGACACATTTCTATTGGAGTGTCCGGAATCCGGATGAAGGTGAGCTGTTGGTGCTTAGCTTGATCCTGTTGTTGAATGAGTTTCTTCGGGCCCACACAGTAGCGGGCCGGTCCGGTTCCAGGCCGGTTGGCCCGGCCCGAGTCCACCCCTAGTGTATCCGTTCAGTTTTGGACATTTAGATTCAAAGATTATTTTTTCCTTTTCTTTCAAACATACCAAAAAAGAGTCCCAATAGGTGAATACTAACACTCCAAACGTGAAAATTTGGACAAAAGAAATTCAATTATATTATTTATTGATGACATAAATGATTACATTTTGAAATGCTTAATTGAAACAATCGAGGGACTCATACATAAATTTAATATCTATACTCTAAATGACAATTTTAGCATTCATTATTAATACAGTAAACGGGTAATAACATGAGAATGTAAACAATACAAGTATGGGTGTAATGATTTACAAAATGTAATCTGATTATATTACAATAGGGATGGACTCGGGCCAGTCCGGTTCTAGGCTGGGCCCGAGCGGGCTTTTTTTTAAATGTTGGGTCCGGAACTGGCTCGGGTTGATACCGGGGTGGGCCGGGGTCAAGGTAATTTTTTTTGCTTTCTAATTAACCCCCGACTCCCCCTCACCCCACCCCACCCCCCAAACCCTCCCAAAACATCCAACCCTAACCAAGAAAAACAAAAAAAATTGAAAAAACCCCAAAAAAATAAAAAACCTAGGCCCGGCCCGAACCGCCTGGGCCGGTTCAACAAATACAGGGCTTGAGCCCGGTCCGCCCAACCCTCCCCAACCGGGTAAAAGCCTGGGCCCGGTTAGCACGATCTGGGCCGGGTCGGGTTCGCACATTGGTGAGTCGGGCCGGTTTTGGGTCGGGTTGAACCGGTTGGGTCCACTGCTATATTACAATGTCGAATTGTCGATGTAATAGAGTTTTTTCTCGGAATAATGCTAATTAAATAAATAATTTCCAAAATACTGCTGGATTTACAATAATCCCCAAAATACTGTTGGGTTAACCGTGTTTAAGAAAAGCAGTCACTTGAAGTGGCGGTCCACCCCTATATTACAATGTTGATGTAATAGAGTTTTTTCCCGGAATAATGCTAATTAAATAAATAATTCCCAAAATACCGCTGGGTTTAAAATAATCCTCAAAATACTGCTGGGTTAACCGTGTTTAAGAAAAGTTGCCACTTGAAGTGGTGGCTCTTCTCTTATAGTACAAAAGCCGCCACTTGGAGTGACGGCTCTTCTCTTACGACCCATTTTATACATATATAAAACGCAATATGTTTCAAGAATTTGTTTAACTGCCTTTCAGATTCAATTTTGAAATGAAATTTGGTATGCATAAACTAGACTTGATGAGGAATATGTTCGAAAAATTTTATCAAAAATTTCTACCGGAAACACCCTCTGATGGTGTTGTCCGCGGGGGGTTTCGGTGAATACGTCATGACAGAAGGGTGGTCCGACCACCTCAATTTGAGGTGGTTCCCGGTGGTATGTTTTGATGAAATTTTTTGTGTATGTTTTTCATAAAGTCTAGTTCATTCATACCAAATTTTAGCAAAATAATCAATCCGAAAGGTTGTCAAATGATTTTGGAAATATAACTACACCGGATTATACATATAAAATTCAGTTATCTTTAAAAAATCATTTAACTGCTTCCCTTATTGAAATTAGTTCTGAAATTTGGTATGGATTAACTAGCCTTAATGAATAACACACAAAAAAAAATCAGCAAAACATCCCACCGGGAACCACCTCAAATTGAGGTGGCCGGATCACCCTTTTGACATGACGTCCTGATCGGAACCCCCAGCGGACAACACCATCTGAGGGTGTTTCTGGTGGATTTTTTTGATGATTTTTTTTGATCACGTTCCTCATCAATTCTAGTTTATGCATACCAAATTTCAGCTCAAACTTTAATCGGGAAGGCAGTTAAACAAATTCTTGAAACATACTGCGTTTTATATATGTACAAAATGGGCCGTAAGAGAAGAGCCGTCACTCTAAGTGACGGTTTTTTTACTATAAGAGAAGAGTCGCCACTTCAAGTGGCGGCTTTTCTTAGCCACTGTTAACCCAGCAGTATTTTGGGATTTATTTTAAACCCAACGGTATTTTGGGAATTATTTATTTAATTAGCATTATCCCGGGAAAAAACTCGATGTGATACTTTCATAATAATATAAAACGACTGTTAACAATATTTAATTAATGTGATTGTAATATGGATGAACAAATATACGAGTCCAACAATAATTACTAATGCATTGAACTTACCTGGTAATATTGGAATTTGGAATCGGTCGAATTTGTAAAAATTGATGAAGTTTGATTGAAGTGGCTAATTGACCGTTGAATTATAAAATTAATACTCCTCCCGTATTTTAATGTTCACTAATCACTACAAAAGAGTTGGGCACATTGTTTAAGGATGAAATAATAGAGGTAATGAATAGTGTAGAAAAAATCGGAGAGAATGTAAAAGTATGAAAAAGAAGATAAAAAGTAAAAACAGTAGGGGTAGTTAGAGTATTTTTAAAGGAAAAATTTACCAAAAATGAAAAGTGTAACAAACTTTTGAATACATCCAAAAAAAGAAAGTGTAGAAACATTACAATACGGAGGAATTATAACTTTTATTACGTAGTATAAAATCAAGAAAAATTACTCCCTCCGTTCCAATTTGTAAGATACTTTACGGTTTAACGATGTTTGACCGACGATAAAGCAAATTGATCCCTATTAGCACTCAAACTAGTTTTGATAAATAAAATTTACATAAAAAAATAAAAAAAATAAAATTTACATAGTCAGAAACTATATTAAAACTGCTACAATGCCTACAAAGAATAATTCAAATTTCATAAAATTTTGATATATAAAGTAAAAGATTAATACTAATTTACGTTGACCAAGTGATAGGAAATTTATCTTACAAATTGGGACTGAGGGAGTATAAAAATATAACTCCTAACTAATTTGAACCAATTTAGTTAGAAATGTAAAATTAATTTTACTTATTTTAATTATTGCACAACTCAGCGTGTAAAAATTAAAATTACGTGTTTGATGATAAAATTGATTGATAAAATTGATAAGCCGAAAACAAGAGTTACCAAACGAGCCATAATTGTACACTTTTGAGAAAAAGATGACAGTTTTAACAATGCGATTGTGTTAAGGGGCAAATAAGCCCACGTACTAACATAAAAGATCAAATAAGCCCTTATATAGGAGGCTCTGTCTGGCCGTCGCCATTTGGGGCAGTTCCTGGTGGAACTTTTTGATAATTTTTTTTTGAGAATCTTATTCATTAAGTCTGGTTTGCTTATACCAAATTTCAGATAACAATTCAATCAGAAAGGCATACAAATAAATTCTTGAAGATAACTGCGCTTTTAACTGTGCAGTTATCTTCAAGAATTCATTTGAATTCCTCCCCGATTGAAGTTTTAGCTGAAATTTGGTATAAGTAAATTAGACTTAATGAATAATATGCTCAAAAAATTGCATCGAAAACTAAACTGACCTTTTTTTATTAGTACGTGGGTTTATTTGCCCCCTTTTCCTTAATAATATAATTGTAATACTAATTATACTACTACGTAGTAGGTACTTTTTTACGAAGTGTACAAAAAAGGATGACACCCATCCTTGAGGGCCCCCGGACGGTACAAGATGTAAATTGGACTATAATCCCAATCTGACAGACAGAGAGTAGGACTCTGTCCCCGGTACTTGCAGAGGCCCTAACATTTAGCATAGTCACCTCTCATCGCAGTTGCCAGGATTTGAACCCGGGACATAACCCTTTTGGTACTCCCTCGCTACCAGTTGGGCTACACCCACGGGTCAAAGTGTACAAACAAAAGGACATTGTAGGATACTGAAGAATGGGAAATTGGGAGTGAGAAAATGTGAAAGTTGTAGCAACAAATAATACAATATAAATGTACATGTGGAGTATTCTAAAAATAGAAATTGTTCAATATAGGACTAAAACATACACAGAATTCAAAAAAAGAATTAAGTATGTTTTATTCCCCAATAGGACTTATTCAATCATACTAAAAGAATAAGTTCATTAAAACTTGAGATAATTCCCTAAATAGGAGTAAAAATACTTTGAAATTCCAAAATAGGAGTATCATGTTTTTTATTCTTTGAATAGGAGTAAATTTTTGCCAAGTTTGGCATTACTAGACTTTAAACATGGCATTTTTTTAAACTTGTCACATTACTCCTATTCAAGGAATAAAAACATGATATTCCTATTTTGGAATTTCAAAGTGTTTTTACTCATATTTAGGGCAATTTCTGTTAAAACTTCCCGAAATAGGAGTGCATGAGTCCTATTTTGAAAAAAACAAAACAAAAATAATATGATCCTATATATCAACTTAATCCTTGTTTTTGTCAGATTTTTTTTTTTTTGTAAAAAATCCAATGATTATATCAACTCGACAGTTAGCTTCTCTAGTCTTTACCGATCTACTCCTATTTGGCTACATAAAGATTCCAAAAAAAAAAATGAAGATTGATGAATAAAAAACATTGGGGGATTAGAGCTGGAGCCTGGAACGAACCTTACCCATGTTGAAATGATCTTGGTTTGGAATTGTTTTTTTCAATGCCTTCTCGCCTATTATAGTATCTATGGTGTTAAATGCTAACATTCTTGATTGAGATGAAGATCGAACTTCTGACCTCCTCATCGGGAGTGTCACAATGATTAATTGAACCACAAAGTGCTTGACAATTTGGACTTATTTAAATAAGGAATTTTATCAATCTAGATTTCAGAATCTGAAAGATAAAATGTGTTAATATAGGGTCCGAATGATTTTGAACTATTAATAAAAAACCTAAAATGTCATAGATTTAAAACTATCAATGAAAACTCTTAGGAGCTGTGGTGAAAAATGAGGACATGTGCAACCACTTATTTAAAAACGATTTCTTATGCAAATTAAAGTGACGTACAATCCATCTCATATATCAAAATTCAGACAAGTAGCAAAAAGACAAAGGACGTGCCATTTAACGGATAGCGGATAACAAATAGAGCGGATTATGTTAGTGTGTTGTCAGCAGCGAATTCAGTCAGCGGGTTTGACTAGCGGAATAAGTTGACAGGTTGCCGGAAGATGATTGGTAATTTAGCTTTTTGACCACACTAATTAATATTAAATGCCATGTTTCGCAATGTTAATCCGAAACTCTCCTATATGCAACGTTTCCATTTAAGCGATTCCAGCCAAAAATGTT